CAGCTGTAAGGATCCTCACCTACAGCTGTCTCCCGCCGCCTTTCTGCTGGAATCCCCATGCCACTGCAGGGAGAGCTCAGCTGCTCCGGGCAGCTGCTGAAGGGCTGCTGCTGTTGGCTTAAGAAAAACAAGTTTGTTTTACTTAACACACCATGTTGTAAACTGCTGCGTTTCAGTAGCCACCCACAGCACTGAGGGACCAGCGAGGGAATGGAGACTAAAACTGCACAAAGGTAAGCTGACTGGTTGTGAGCCATGACCCCAGTAAAAATCCCGGTGGCCAATAGTAAGGCTCGAGTTTTAACTACACTGATTCAATGTACTCATGTTTTCACGATTAGAGCTTAAATGTAACTTGATTGTTTCAGAGAGTACTGGTTTTTTCAATTTATTTAGAAAAGTAAGTAGTGAAAAGGAACTTAGGTGGTCAGGAGCTATGTATGCTTTTGTAAAAAGTGCTATTAATGGACAGACCAACAGTTTCCACCAAAACTATGATCCTCCATCACATCAGTATCAAATGAAATAGCCTGCCCAGTCACACTAGGTATAGCTAACTAGCTTAAGATTGAATCTCTGTATTGTCTCGACCAATATTTTTACACATACAAATTCCACTATTCTGTAAATGTCAAATGAGTCCATATTCTACTAATGCCAATGCTTTCCTCCTCCCCCTAAATATCACACACTTTATATGAAACAAAAGTTAAGAATATTACAAATCAAATGCATGATTTCCCACTAATCTCAGTGGGAGTTTATAAAACCCATTAAATGCAGGATGATTTCCCCAAGAAAAAAAAAAAAAAAAAAAGCAAGATCCTATTTCTCAAGGTTAGTAGTCCAATAAGATCTCTGGGTTTTAACAATTCAGGGCTTCATCAGAGTTGAAAATTTTTCCTTCTATGATTATATAGCTATATTTTTATATTACTATTATTATTATTATATACACACACACACACAGTCATACATTCAAGTACTGTATTCAACTATACATACCTAGTTCTACTAATATAAAATGCTATTTATACTCTTTGTTTTAAAACAAGAATATTCACATGGGGAATTACTCTAGTACAGAAAAAGCAGTAAAATTATATAGTTACAGATTGTTCAATGTATCTCCAGGTATACATAAACTCATTTAGAAGACTTTTGCTCTGGGTCTGTCAAAATAGTCGTTTTCCACGACAGTTTATCTCACCCTCCCTCTTTCTTTCCCCGTCAAAGCAAAGGGTGTGTTGTAACCAAACAGAAGATTTTTCCCTCTGTTTAAAACCTAAGTAAATAATTTTCATTTTGATTTGTCCCATTTTCTTTTCAGCTCCTTTCCATTGAACTGAGGAAAAAAATAGTGAGATGAGAAAGTTCCACAAAACTGAGCCTTAGTAATTCCTGTTAAATTAAAATGGTTTAAAGACCCACTGTGGTGGCTGCTGTAGAGCTGCAGTTAAAAGAGAAAAAAAAAAAAAAAAAGGTCTTACAAAAAGAAGAGAACAACCTAAGCAAATGATGAATATACCTGATGAATTTTATTATCTTCTAAGTTTAGTCATTTTTACTTTTTGCTTACAACAGTAGAAATTTTCTCTATCCTCTCTACTTTGAGGGTGCAGCTTCACAGGATGAAGCCTTCTGCAGCTTAAAGCACACCTGCCCTGGGCTGCCAGCCTGTCCCCAGCCTGCAGCCCACTGCTGCTCCCTGCTACTGCTGGCACCACTGACTCACACAGAACATCTCAAGGCTCTAAACAGGCTTACAAGCTTTTATTTTTAAAAAACAAGCAAATAAACAACAACAACAAAAAAAACCCCAACTTATAATACTTGGCAGCACTACACCAAAAGAGCAAGAAGCATTTGCCTCTTTGAAGTGACAATTCCTGACAAAAAATAGGGAAGTACGAAGACTTTCAGAAGAGTAATAATCATCAAGAAGCAAAGGCAGGCACATCATAAGTGTTATTATTCTGCAGCTGCCCTTTAAAGCAAGGAACTAAGGTGATGCAGTTAATTAAAACTAACTGAAAGTAAACATGCTTGTACAAAGCATTCAAATACAAACATTTCATAACATCTTCAGAAAATAAGTGAAACCTGTGGGTGGGAGCACTGCTTCAGGATGACAAAATATTTAACATGATATCCCTTTATCCAAAATAATCATACAGTAAAAATCTTTAGAACACCTGTTCAAACATTAATTAATAGAGAAATAAAACACAAACACTGGACAAACTGATTCAGAAGTTATTCTGTACCAGAGATTAAGTAACTGAAAAAATTGCTGTCACAGCCAGCCCAAGCAAAGGGAGCTTTAATAAACCGTTATTTACCTGATAGTACACTTAAACACGTTCTCTAAGAAGTGCTGGTATAAAAATACATATAAAGATGATAAAAGAGAACTGTATCCCTGCTGACCAAGCTACACGACACTGTCATGTGAAAGGCACAAAATGAGAAAAGGCACAGGACCCACATCCCACGGAACAGGCAGCGTAATGCCAGTAGTGCCTTAACCACCAGGTTTCCCCTGGCAATATTCCACAGACTCTCCATTTACTCTGTCTGAGGTGAGAGTTGGGCCCAAAAGATACTAGAACCAAAAATGGCCCAGTATACGCCAAGAATCCAGTTCTCACCTTTGCACATGAAGGTGCATAACCATGAAGAAATTACTTTTTAAAAAATTATTTTCTTTAGGAAAGAATATTGTCCTTAAGCTGTTCCCAGTTACCAATTTATGGTATGCAGCAGGGCCCTGTAACAATATATTGCCCTGCTATTCACGTGCATGTTGTAATGCTCAGTTCCCATGTTCTTTACTCATTTCTCGTCATCCCATGATTTTTTACATAAATTTTTCACTAGAAAATAACAAAACCTCCTCAAACTCACTCAGGAAAAAAAAAAAAAAAACAACACAACAAAAAACTCCATATGCATTACATTAAGATAGCAAAACAGAAAAGCAGACTGTAAAACCAAATCAAAGCCCTGGCAGCTGCAGCAATGTGGCACTAGCAAAGAAACAACACGGCAAAAAGATCATGGTTTCTTTGTTAATACTGCTTTTACCAGTTTTCTGTTCACATTTCTCTCTTGATGACATCCTCTTTCAGAAATATGCACAACGTTCCCATCGGAAAGCACTGGGAAGACAAATAAGGACCCCTTCTGAAGCTACCACACAATCTAGTCTCTCCTCCCCAGAAATAACTCTGTTCTTACCATCACATAAACCCAGTCATAGTCATATCTTCACTTCCTTGCTTTCCTCTACCCACAACTCCACACACCTGGCAGGATCCTGTCATTTTTTTTCCTCAACAGGCTTTTTAAAACCTCACCTCCTGCACCAAAACTTTGGGTTTTTTGCTTCCATTCTAAATCTGAGGCTAATCCCCTTCCACTTTTTCTAAATTTTGATCTCCCTTTTGGTATGCCACACCCTTCCTTGAAACCAAATTACTTATTTTAAGAAAGCTGCAGTATTTGAGTTAAAAATCCTTTAAAACACTATCACTATACTGTATAGTTTCAGTATTTATTTCAATTAAAAGATTTCTTCAAACAAGTAAAACATATTTTAAGACATATGTCAAGTCAGTATCATTTAAGAGACGCACAAATTATTGAAGTTTGTGAGTTTCTGAAACAAAGCATAAGCAATATTCACAATGTTGAACACCACACTAAGTGTGGCCCTAAAATCAGCTCCCACTGACATCAATGACAATAAGAAGGGGCTCTTTAAAACTGCTTTCTACATTTCTTTTGTTTGTTCTGAATTCATTCTCTACACAGAATTTGTACTTAATGTCAGTCAGAAGCGCAGTCTGGAGGGCAAACCAGAAATCTGCTGACAAAAGGTCTGAAAAGTGAATCAAGAAATGGAAATATTTCTAAAAGAAGAGTCACATCATCGTTGCAGTAATAAATCAAATGTAATCAACGAAAACTTTTTCCACCTTGAAAAGTCACGCACACAACAGACAGTCTTCAGCATCCTTCCTAAACCTGCCTTTAGAAAGATCTTAACAACAAGAAATCCTATTAGAAGGTGCTGAACTCCTACACTGTGACTCTTCCGGAAGCCTTCTACATAACAAAAATGCAATGAAGTACCATACAACTTTTCTCCCCCTTATTATGCAAAATCCTTACCAAATTCAATAGTGTGACATCGTTCAAAATCCTGACTAACAATGGCATGCAGGAGGTCAAGAGATGTCCTCTTTGTTTTAGTTTCACATGCTTTTCAGGCTATTAATGTTAAAATAAAAAGAACCTTCACAGAAATAACTGATAAAGATCAAACCTAACTAAACAATGGGAAGGAAATTCAGAGTTAAAACTGGTACTTAGCTCTTAATACAAACCATTGTGCCTAAGCACTGGGCAGCAGAATGATCCTGCGATCCAGACAATATGCAGGAATAACAAGGTGAGGTAAGAAGCTTCCAGCTCCCGCTTCCCATGCTTTTGTTGGTTTAAGTTCAGGCCAGGGACCTTGTTTTAACGCGGTATTTGTATTTCTTGGGAGGAACTCCTGGCCTCCTTTGTGCTGCGGGTTGCGAGTGGAATGCAGCATGCGGCACACGTTCCACTCGCAACGGGGAGGACAAAGGATTCACTGATCAGGGAGGACAATTAGTCCCAATTAGGCCTATTTCGCAGATGAGTGTAAGGGCTGGGGGAAGGGAGCTTAAATTTTAAAGCAATGGGTCCCTCAGGCGAGTTAAAGTGAGATCAGTAAAGTGACAAGTTTCAGAGAAGGTGCCCTGTGGGGAAGCCGGTGGCACTGTGCCCCGGGCAGCAAGAGTTGTCCCCAGGAGATGATGGAGCAGTGTAAGAAATTTGATAATCATTTCGCCTATTAGCTAATGTGACGAACCAATTCTTCCAGTTTTCAGCCCACTCCTTCAGCAGCAGTTCTCGATTCCAACGCACAGGCAGGCACACACGAAGGCAAGGGCAGGGATACTCACATATGCACATGCGGAGGCTGGAACCTGCTCTGGTTGATGTTGTAGTGTGTAAACGCCTGCGTTGGGTTGGAGCTGTATTCATCCACTGTTATGGTAACTTTGCCTTGTGAAGGAATTCCATGAGCCATCCTTCCTCCTTATGGACATGAGCAGCTCACAACTTCCCAAGGCCAGGAGCAGGGTAGGACATGGTGTTTCAGGCGGCTCCCGACTCCCAGCAGCTCCTCATCAACTCCGCAGAACTCTGCCAGGAGAGAAAGACAGTACACACTGCTGTGAACTCAAAGGGGATGTAAATATTTGCAGACATATTACTCGATCCTCTCCTGATTTCCATTCAAAGATATTTTTCTATCCTTTTGATGTACCCATCACCCAACTCTCTAAGCATTACTACTCACATTTTTTTAATTGCCTCATCATTTAACTCTATCATCATTAAATACATCCAAAGGATGAATGCTTAAAGTAAGGCTTTATCTTCAGGAAAAAGAGTAAAAAAAAAACTGTGTTGAAAGCTCCAGCTAAATACTTCGCATTTACTACTCTTTATTTTAAATAACATCTCGGGTTAATTGTAGTCATGAAAATTAACAAGTGGACGCAGTTTCCTGAAGGACAAATCACTTTCCACAAGTATGCATACTTGTTTTCAAGGTCCTATTTTAGCTTTACAAAATAAGTTACACCTGAAAGACTCATGAGAAGCTGATGCAAAGCAGAAAATTTCACAGTTGCATAGTGAAAGGTACAACCAAATACCTTTGAATGAAAGTATTTATCTGTCCAGAGAAAGGACCGTATCTAGACAACCTTAACAAAATATCCATGTTATACTGCACTAGCAATGAAACTGGTTTGAATGCATCACCAGACAGTAACGATTTATCTGACAGATTTAAGTGCTATTTTATGCATAAATATTTCTGCATAAGATGAAAGAAATCTGCTCTTCCCTCTCTGTGCATCCCTATCTTTCACTTCGAAGTGCTCTGAAACACATTTTGCATTAATACTGGAAGCATTCTGTACTATGAGCCTAAGCCCAATAGCCAGAAACTTCCCAAACCTGGTCTCTTGTTGAGGTCTCTGCACAGAATATGAGCTTCAGTTTCTTCAATCGATAAACTGAGGATACCTCAACTACCTTCCTTTCAGAGCGACTTTGTGAAAACTGATCAGCTGATGTTGGAAGAATACTTTCAAGTCGAGCAACTCCTTAAAAGCCGTGTTTATGAGGCAGATGCTCAGCTGGGGCACGCTACCCTAGCTGCAAGGACTTACATGAAATCAAGACAGTTTGCATCCCGCCACCCCCCCCCCCCTTTAGTTGTTACACCCAGTAGTGGATTTGTGGTATCCGGTGTGCAATTTACAAAAGTAAACCAGTGCTTACTGGGAAGACAAAGAGATAGCAAAGAGAAGAGAAGGACTTAAGCCCTGGGTATCAAACTAAGCAGCATTTTTCTGGTGTGATACTCCTGGACTTCTCTTAGCTCCCAGACAGAAATATGTTTGCCATGTGTAACGTTAAACATTTGGAATCTTTGATTTGTATTCAAAATATATTTTTAATACAAAGACTAATTTCCAGTTTGGCATGAAGCACGATAAAAACGCCCTGCAAATGGCAGATGGCCTGCTATAGGCCATTTATTTTACTATTTTACAACCTCAGGCCTATGTAGGCTTCCATATGTTAGTTGGGTTAAGACATTCTGCAACCTTCATTCCAGTAATTGGAATCTATTCTTCATCTTCCACTCACTCAAACCCAGGACATATTGAAGAGGGAAAAAAAAAAAAAAAAAACCAAAAACAACAAACTAAACCAAAACCAAACAAACACAAAAAAAAATCCAAGCAAACAAACAAAAAATAAAAAAAAAAACCTAAACCATAAAGTTCCTATTTAAAAATGGAGTTACTAGTGAGACAGTATATCTCCATAACTAAGGTTATGGTCTGGTCTTTGCACTAACCTCCTCTTGTAAGAATAAGCACAATAGCTTCAGGAGTAAAAATCAGCAAGGTGAGCTTTACTAAACCAAATCTTTGCAGTGTTAGATGTGATGCAAGATGTGTGCAACAACTGCTCACGAATCATAATGTAGTGGTTACCATACAAAGTTTGCAGCTGTTTCCTTAATTTCCCTTACAATTATATTTTAGTGTTATTTTGCATAACAGTAAAACACAACACCTGCTTCAAATTGCAGTCCTGTTCCAAGTAGTGTAATTCTTTTGAGACAGAAACTACAACGAGCGTGCAACACACAGCAACATAATTGCCCTGCACTGAAAAGTAAATACAAATGAAAACATCTTCCTGTTAGAGAAATGACTGTCATTAACAAGAATGCTAGCCATCAAAGCTCCCGGGGAAAAAACCCTAAGTTTTTCTTTTACACAGCAAGAACTTTAACGTCTGCATAAATTAAATAGTGTGAAAATTACATGTCTAATGTTACTTTTTCGCAATTAAAAGCTACAATGTAAAACCACATGTTAAACCAACAACAAAAATATGCTTGGGCTTTCAGAAAAACTAAATCACACTATTTTCAGTAATCTAGCATAAGAAAGGTCAGAAGATTAAATTTCATATTATAGTTCACTCATGGAAAAAAAAATCCAATTTGTTCATGAGAGTGAATTATACATAAAGATAATAAGCATTTTTTACAAGGTTTATAACAATCCATGTTACAGAAAGAAATTACAACTAACTAGCATAAAACAAATGATAAGCGGACACTTGAATAGCTGTATTAAATACTTTAAAGTTGATTTTCAGTAAGATTATAAGTATATAAGCTGCAATTGCTTCCCCTTGTTCCCATCTTTAATCTTAAGAATAAATCTCTATACTTAAATTAAGACAAAGCCGAACAAAGCATCCTTTTAAAATGAAATTCAACAACAAATACCAGACTGGAAAAAAAAAAGTAAAATTTGAAGCTCACTTCTGTGTCAATTCTCTAATTTCCATTTAGTGTTCCATAGAGTACCGCAGCTCACCTACCAGAAGTATCTAATTATTACCTTCTTTACTGTGAACTTCTCTGAAGAAAATATCAAGAAGGAGCTGAATGCTTCAAAACTTTAAAAACAAATTTACTTTAGGCCCAAGATAAAAAAAAAAAAAATAAAAAGGCTACTTTGAATCACTACCGTTCTTTTTTCTCCAACTGCAATCACTTTCAAGATTACACAGAGGAGATAAGCACAAAAGAATAAAAGTTGCATTATTTTTCACATCTGTCGAGTAAAACAACGTGCAGTATCTTCCAAACCTTATGTGCTAGTTTTAAGTAAGAATGACTATATTAAAAACCTAAAGATTTTTTTTTTTTTTAAGCGTGTTGCGTTCCCCCAGATATAGCTGTTACGCTGGGAGCAACAAACCTTCCCCAGCGTAGATTTGTACCGACAGTGAGACAGGAGATGTGCTATTGTATAGATCTGCTCTTCTTCATAGGTATAAACCGGCACTTTTTCATAAAAGGGCTGACACAAACTTACGCGCAGCTTGATTTTAAATCAGTATGCAACTGCCGTGTCAAAAAACTATCACAAAATATTCACAGATAAGTCATTTTAAAATATAACGTTACATTTCACGGAAAGCCACAACACACGAGCTCTACGTATGTGCATGCACATACTGGCACGCGAAAAACGCATTTCCCCGAAATAAAATATTTACGCCTTTCTCATCTGAATTTCAAAAATTTGCCTGCTGGCTGGTCTCGGGTTGTAAAAGAAAATTTTGAGAGGCAGGAGGCGGAAAGGGTTAATCGCGTGTCAACACCTTCTGTTGATCCATCCACCATCCCGACCCTGGCACGGCAACACTCCACAACCCGGCACCCCCTGGAGCGCGGGCACCTGCCGCCGCCCCCCCCCCGCCATCTCACCCCGCACCCCGGGGGGTTATTTCACAACTGCCCCGAGCGCCGCTGCGCTGCAGTTCGCGGGCAACTCCGGGCTCCAGCCTCCCCCCCGAGTCCGAGGCACCCGGGGAGGGGGGGGGGACGGGACACCCCGACTCCCCCTCCCTCGGCCGAACCCCGGTACCTGGGCTCCTGGCCGCCCTCCGCCTCCGCCGGCTCCCGGGCCGCCCCGGCCGCGGCCCCGCGGGGCGCCGGGCTCGCCCCCCCGCTGATTGATGGCTCTGGGTGGCCAATGGCTCCGGCGCGGCCCCGTCCCGGCGTGTGCCGCAGCCCCCGCCCCGCGCCCCCTGCCCGGCCCGGCCCCCCCTCGCCACCGAGGGGGCATTTCGGCAATTTTTGTGCTATAGCGCACAAAGTTCACATCACACCCCTCCACCCCCAACTGCCACAGAACCAAATTTTTTTTTTATTTATTTATTGGGGGGTGGGGGGGGTGAAGGATGCTCGGGGGAGGATGCAATAAACTCCACAGCGAGCCGCGGGCGAGCGATGCCCGCGTCTTTTTATTCCGACAGTGCCAACCGCGCCGTCCCCCGCACCTCGCCCCCACCCCCGGAAGGTTTCCAAGTGCGTGAGGCCTCCGGGATCAGGGTTTCAAAGCGGCTTCTCCCGCCGGCGAAAGGGAGAGGGGAAACTCCGCCGGGAAACGGCAAAGCAACCCGCGTTACCCTCCGTACTTTTGCGGCGTGCGTGTGCGTGTCCCCCCCTCCACGCACAAACACCCCCCCACACACCCCGCGGGTCTCTCCGCACCGGGAGCCCCATCCCCGTCCCCCGCCGGCTGCTCGGCGCTGCCGCCCGCCCTCTGGCCCCAGCCAGCACAATGCTCCCCGGCCTACCCTCCCGGCCCCGCCGCGGCTCCCCCCTCCCCGACCCCGAGCCAGGAGCCCCCACACCGCCTCCCGCCCCCGGGCCGCTTCCACCGCTGCAACCCCCGCCCCCCACCTCCCACCCCCGCCTCGGCCAGGGAGCCGGGCGGCGGCGGAGGGCAGCGGGGGCACGGCCTGGGGGGAGGAGGGCAGGGCGGGCTCGCTCAGCGCCGCCGAAAAAAGCCGCCTCGGCTGCCGGGGAAGAGCCGCCGCCGCCCCGACCCGACCCGACCCGACCCAGCGGGCTCGGGGCGGTCACGCCGGGGAAGGCAGGAGAGAGCAGGCGGCCAGTTTTATCCTTATTATTGTTTGCAGAAGGCTGGCCCCGGCGCCGCCGCCGCTCCTGCCCGCCCCCCCCCGCTCTCGCCCATGACACGGCACCTCTAACCCGCCGCTTTGTGCGCCGCTGCCCCCCCCCCCCGCCCCGGCACGCAGATACCGACCTGGGGCCGCTCACCTTCCCTCCGCCGGTTGCCGCTGCAGGCGGGTCGGGGATGCCTTCAGCGCGGCCGCTCCATGGGGCTGCGGGGGCGCGGCCGGGGCAGAGCCTGCGCCCGACCCCGCGGCGGTGCCCGGCGGCGGCGGCCTGGGGCCGGCTGCGGCTCCGGGGCTGCGTTCGGGTCCGGGGCGGCGGCGGGGGCGGGCGCGGTGCAGTGAGCGGGACTGCCACTGGGGTCAGGGAGCAGGCACCAGGAAACACGGCGGCCACGGAGCGCTGCTCGCACACGCACACACACACACACCACGCACAGCTCCTCCCGCTGCCTCGCACTTCACCCCCCCCGGGCAGGGAGGGAGGGAGGAATCGCTGCTGCATTTCCCAAGTGCGGCACAGCCTTCCCCCGCCGAGCCGGAGCAGCGGCTCTGCCGCCCAGCCGGGGTCAGGGCGGGGGTGCGGGCTGCCCCAGCCCCGGGGGAGCGGGGGGCCCCGGCCGGGAGCCCGCCCGGCCCCCCCCCCCCCCCCCCCCGCCGCCGCGGGGCAGCGCCCGGCTCGCACCCCGTACACACACAGCCGGCCCGGCACCGCGCACCGCTGCTCGGCTCTTCCTCCGCCTGAAAAAATAATAAAATAATAACAACAACAACAATTTAAAAAAAAAAAATCCTCGAAACAGGTTTTCACATCTTCCGCACCTTTCATCATTAGGTATTAATGCAGTGCTCTGCTCCTGCTGTAGATAAGCTAACCTCAGAAACCAAACCAGACATAAAGAAACACTACTGTAGGGTTAGCATTTGAGGCTGAACGTTATCTTAGGGTAATTGGGCTTTTCTATGGAGAGTTAGAATCAGAGAGCTTGCTGTTGTCTTTTTTTTGTTTTTTTGTTTTTTTTTTTTTTTTTTCTTTCCGAAATCCACAGCAATTGTGTCAACAGCCACAACAGTAGCAAAGTATAAGATTATAGGTGTTTGTCTTTTACTTTCAAGACTGCAAACGGAAGGGGGGACTTGCACAGTCATACACTTACAATGGGAAGAAATAGAAGAAAAAAAGGAAGAAATTCCAAATAATTAAGCCAAATAATCGAGCCGACAGAAAATAAAAGCTCCTAACAGGCCTCTTCTAAGAGTAGATACTGTCTTACATATTTTAAATACATAATTTCGACTCTGGCCAACCTTCAGATATGCATGGCAACTAGGCAGGTTTTTCTTTGTTGTTGAAAACAATGAGAAGGGTCCCCAGTATTGCCAGACAGAAATCCACTAGGATGGATTGTCCTGTTTAAAACCATGGCAAATTAAGAAAAAAAACAACCCAAAAAAAGACTATATGGGTTTTTTTGCCAAAAAATGGCGTACGTCTTTTCCAAATTTCATGTTAGACCTTTCAGTCTGATTTTTTTTTTTTTTACTATTGTCATTTTGCCTTTTAATAGAAGTAAGCACTGTGAATACCAAAAGAAAATTCCTGTTTCAGACAAAATGGCCCTCAGATGAGGCGTCCTCACCAAATCAAAGCAACATTACCAGGGAATCTTTGACTGGAATAGAGTCTGAGGCTGTAGTTTCACAATTATTTTTAGCTGCCTTATTCTGACACAGCTGTAAAATCAGCAATCCAGCATTCAGCCCACTTACCCCACTTCTGCCCCTGCACTAGCTCTTGTGTGAGAACAGGGAACCTCACCTGGGAAACAGATCCAGTTAGTGCCAGGGAAAAGGCAGGCTGGTTTGGTGTGGGTCAGTCTCATCCAATCCACTCCATAACTGCACAAATGCTTCTACTGGAACAAGGCAGGGAGGAGATGAGCAACTGAGGACACAAAGAGAACAGGATAGCTTCATTGGTACCACTGCCTGCTCAAATATAAAAACCTGGGAGAAGGAGGGTTAGGTGAGGAGGAGCGGGTTTGGTCCTGAACCTGCTGCATCCCTCCTCTGCATTTGTGCGTTCTCTGTATTTGTGTCCTTACACGTCTAGAGCCCCCAGCACTACAAAAATGAGCTTCTAGCACTGAGGGAGAAACAGGGCATGAGCCTGGGTAAGATAACTGGACTGGAAGTTAGGAAGCTCAGAGACCTTCTCTCTGATACCTTGTATGGTGAGAGACAACCCAGACATTACCCCAGTGCCTCAGTGGTCTAGTATTGAAATAAACATCTACTGAATTCACCAGTCCTTACACAGAGCAAGGTATGTGGCCTGAAAGTTAGTGGCACTTGGGTTTTGCTCATATGAATCCAGTGTGGGACCTAATTCTAAGGTCATGTCTTTTTCACAATATGAAATGTTCATCAACCACACCAAGCTGTAATACAGTCATTGGGAACACTGGTTTTAACTTGACAAACTCTGAAACATTTTCTGTCACCAGCACATAATGAAATTCTTCCTTTTTACAAATTATTTGGTTTCTGTTTCCTCAAGAACAGTATACTTTCCAAAGATGTACCCACTTTAGAAATGTGCTGGCCCTGGAGTTGCTAACAGACGGGAAAAAAAACTTTTCTTAAATTGATTAAAGGGTTTTCTGAGGAAAACAGTTGCATTTTGTTGCCCTTCTTTTCTAATTCACAAGAGCAGCATGAAAATGCAAGTCTAAGTATAGAAAAAGAAAACATCTTCATTTTGGCTGGAACGTGTATTAATACACACTTGACAAGAGAATCTCAGAAATAAATCTGAAAACTTAAAAAGTAAACAAGCTGTTTATTGTGTCACAGGACTGATTTTTCTAGTTGGGCAAAATTCAAAACAGTGAACAAGTGGCTTTTGTTTACTTTAATATTTGTAATGTTAAAAGTGTATGTTACACATGAAAACTTAGTCATGTTCAGAGTTTGTACTGGATATTATTTTTTCACTTTTACAAATCCACAGTGAGTATCATCAAATGTACAGATGCAGCAGAAGCATGTTAAAAAATATAAAACACTACAGTATCATGGAAAGCATACAGATTCTTCAAAATCTGTTATGTCATCTCTAATATACTTCATAGGTACCACTGTCTCCAGTTTCTGCCAAGCACAAGACAGAGCTAACACCTTTTGAGACACACATAGGGTATTCCAGAGTGAACCATGGACATGCATCTGCATGTGCTCTTTGGGAAAAATCTTCCCTAAGTATCTGTGAAGCAATACAAGAAAGTATAGTTTAAAGTCTATCTCTGAGAACTCATTCCTTAAACAGTAAGATTTTCTGATGGCTCTTTTACACAGAAAGGAATTTAAAAAAAAAAAAAAAAAAAACCCAAACTAAAAACCTTTCAAACTGTATGTCATGACACTGGTCTGTGGTTACAGTCCTGTCCTGCTACAGATCCTACCTGGTCAGGATGTGCTATGTTATGAGTGCATTAATGTGCTCCACAGTTTGCTGTATGTTGCTTGTTGAGAGTACTCTCAGAGTAAGCTTGAGAATATTCCATTGTCTGACCAAGGGAGGGAAAACCTGATTACAAGGCCATGTCTCACTGTATAAAATGATCAACAATGCTACTTCAAGGGTGTTTCTATAACTGCCCCACTCCTCTGCCGCTTACTTCTGCTCCCATACTTCAGGGATAAAAACCATACAAGAAGAACAAATTCGGTTTTTAAAAAAGCCTCCTTCCAAAAAAGGCAAAAAAGGTTTTAAGGCAGATCAATTCCCCAGTCTAGTCCACAGCACAGTCTCTGAAATGTTTATGCTGGTTTAATTCAGAATGCCACAGTCTGCAGCGCAGGACCACGACTGGCACCAGGTATGCTACAATTTCAGAAAAAATTAGGCCAGTGTTTCACACTGTCTTTTAGTTCATAGTTCTTTAGTATCAGAGGGGTTTTGTTTGTTTGTTTCAATACATGTATTTTTTGTATTTTTAGCCATTTTAAGACCAGAGCATCAAGAGTACTTGTCTATATTGCAGGCAGAATACTATTTCAGCCTGCAGAGACTGGGGCATGATGGTACAGTACTGGACAATGCATATTTGGATTGTTAACATTTTAAGAAAGTAGAGTTTGATCCAGTGGACAGCCACTGGTAGCAGTCTGCACTGAAAGTCACTGTATTTGCCATATTTCAATATAGATCACTGCAATTCTGCCAAAAATTGTATCTTTACAGGCTTGTTCCCCTCATTAAAGTATAAATTCTTCAGTAACTGGAAAAGAATACAACAGGAGAGAACTGCATGAGTTTAGACTTCATGCCCCACTGAACAGACACTACATTCCAAATTTGCGAATATAGTTGGATGGATTAAAAATTCTCCATTGCTCTCTTCCATTTGTAGCCTGTAAGTCACAGAGCATTTGGTCTGCATGCTGGCAAACAACATGAAGACAACAGAAAAACATAGTATTAGATATAAGGAACAAACACACAAACAAACTGAAAAACAGGATTCCAGTTTTGAAGATACAAACTCTTTTTTTAGCTCTTAGAGCTTCTTTCCCTTAAGAAAATTACAGACTGGAACTAGCAGCTAATTAAATCCTAAAAATGGAATTAAAAAAAAAAAAAAAAAGCCTCCTGGCTTCTAATTTTTGTAATCTCTACCACTGTGAATTTTTATCTGGATTCTTCTCTTACAAACATGGACCGATACACTAACCTGTTCAACGCTCCAGCAAATACTACATCTTCAGGAAGAATCCATGGCCTCTCCATAGAAGCGCACCAGCTTTTGGAGAAAAAAAGGACAATTCTCAAAAGGAAGTGAAACTTGAGCCTTTAGTCAGAACCTGCAGAGAGGAGCACATCATTATAATGTTGATAGGGCATCAGGTAAGACTGCTGAAGGAAATATCACTAGTTGTCCTTTGGGCATTCTTTTTATATTCGATGGATCAGAACATTGTCACAGGATAATGATTGTCTGCTTCCTTGGCCCCATTAAATTAAATTAAATATTTGATTGGAACTTTACTACTTGCCTTCTGTAGAAATAAAAAACGATGCAAACACGCTGCAGTTGAATCATTTGCTCTTCTAAAAATTCCCAGTGTAACTGCTAGACAAGACACCTAGAGAAGAAACCATTCCTATTAATATTTTTTTTGGTTTTGTACATTCCACCAAACATTCTTTTTTTAAGATTGAGAAGGATGTATGGGTGATTTATTCCTTCATAATAGAGCAGGTAGTGACTTCAGGTTTGTATGTACATAAAGATGCAAATATTGTTTGATGCACAGCAGTTATTGCAAAGACATTACTGCAGGAACTCCGAGATACTGAAGGCTCAGGGCACACCACAAGGAAAGGTTTTTGGTGGTCACCTTCTGGTTAATGAGCTGTGGCAGGGAATACACAACTGTGGGAGTAATGTGAGGTCTTCAAACATCCTATTTATTGCATATCAATTTACCTGCTTAGGAGAAGGTGGATGCCTTTTTCCTCAAGTGATCATTTTATCACCTAGGTAGTCTACAGTGCATTGAGTCAAAGCGTGAGAAAACCTTCAGTTTAATTCAGCTGCAGTTCAGGCACTCAGAGATCATTGTACCAAATAATTCCAAAACTTGAAGGTCCGTCAGGAAACAGGCATT